GGTGCCGGCACCGGGCTTTCTTGGGCCGGTGGGGAGTCCCGGGGCCCGGTTCGGTTCCACCCGGTTCGGGCTTGCCGTTCGGGCCGGTTTCGACCGGCCGGTTCGGTTCGAACCGCCCGGTCCGGTTTCAGCCGGGCCGGTTCGGGCTCCGGTTCGGGCGGTTCGGTTGCAGGAGCCGCCGGTTCACGGTTACCAGTTCGGTTCGGACTCTTCTTGCCCTGCGTTAGACGCTAAACTTTCAGAGAACATCGCGGTAACGGTACAGCTGGCGCAGCATTTCTGCACATGCCCCCTTTGTAACTCGGCGGCGAGCGAGGGGGGAAAGTGAGAAGGGGTGGGGCTTCTCAGAAGGCTCGGAAGTCCCCTGGCCTTCTGAGAAGTTTTCTAGGCCCTTCCCGAAGACGCAAGAAAACTCACCAGAAGGCGCGAGGGCTTCTCAGCAGCCCCGCCGCCTTCTTAGAAGGCCGTCTTCTTCTCACTCTCCCCCCTCGCGCGCGCCCCTGCAACATGCGAGGCGGGGAGTTATCCATATCCCCCGCCTGGGAACCGACGTCCTGGTGCCCCAGCGGGCGGTGAATCTGGACATATTTGAAAGAGCGTGTTCTACCGCTCCTTGCGGAAAACCGGGGGGGTCACTACCGGTTCGAACCCCCCTCCCCCCTCCGGAAAACCAGGGGGGGTCACTACCGGTTCGAACCCCCCCCCACCCCTCCAGTCCATCATGAAAAGGGAGGGGGGGTCACTACCGGTTCGAACTCCCCCCTTTCCCGAAAACCGGGGGGGGGTCACTACCGGTTCGAACCCCCCCCCCCCCCCCCTCGAAAACCGGGGGGAGTGCGGACAGTGGTGGGGACGGTGGTGGTGGGGACTGTGAGGGGACAGCGGGACAGTGGTGGGACAGTGGGACAGTGGTGGGGACGGTAGTGGTGGGGACAGTGGTGAAGGCGGTGGTGAGGGCAGTGGTGGGACAGTAGCACGGTGGGGAAAGTGGTGGGGACAGTGGGGGCAGTGGGACAGTGATGGAGACAGTGGGGACGCTGGGACAGCACAGTGGGACAGCGGCGGGGACAGTGGGACAGTAGTGGGTACAGTGGGGACAGTGTGACAGTGGTGGGGACCGTGGGGAAAGTGGGGAGAGTCGGACCGTGGTGGGACACTTGTGGGGGGAGTGGGAACATTGACGCGCTGGTGGGGGCACTGGTGGGGACAGCGGGGACAAAGGTGGGAACAGTGGGGACAGTGGGACAGTGGTGGGGACGGTGGTGGGGACAGTGGTGTGGGGACAGTGGGAATGTGGTGGAAACAGTGGGGTAGTGGAGGGTACAGTGGTAGTGGGGACAGTGATGGAGGCCGTGGCCAGGACGGCGATGGGATAATGGGACAGAGGTACAGTGGGGACAGTGGTGGGGACTCTGGGGTCAGTGGTGGGAACAGTGGGACAGCTGTGGGACAGCGGAGGGGACAGTGGGAAAGTGGGGACAGTGGGGATCGTCGGGCAGTGGTTGGGGCCGTGGAGAAAGGGGGGAGAGTGGAACCTTGGTGGGAACAGTGGTGGGGACAGTGCGGCAGTGGTGGGGGCACTGGTGGGGACAGTAGGGACGGTGGTGGAACCAGTGGGGACTGGTGGTGAGGACAGTGGCGCTGGGAACAGCAGTGGGGGATGTGGTGCGGACGGTGGTAGGGACCGGGAGTCGTTTGCTGCGGTGAGGGGGGGGGGGGGAGGGGTTCGAACCGGTAGTGACCCCTCCTTGGTTTTCGAGGAGGAGGGGGCCGAACCAGTAGTGACCCCCCCCTTTTCGAGGGGGAGGGGGGGGGGGGTCGAACCGGTAGTGACCCCCCCCCCCGGTTTTCTGGAGGGGAGGGGGGATGGGGGGGGTTTTGCCGGGGGAAGGGAGGGGGGGTGTCCAGCAGAGGGGGGGGGGGGATTTTTTCGGAGGGGGGGGAGGACCCCGGGTTCTGGAGGAGGGGGGGGGGAGGGGGGGGGGGGGGGGGGCATTTTCCACAGTAAAGCGGCGGTGGATCACGCTCTCTCACATATTTCGGCCCCCAGGGGCCCGAATATGTCCAGATCCACCGCCTGCCGAGGCTCCGAAAACTGACCCTCCAGGCGGTGGTCACGTATACATCCCCGCCTCGGTCGGACAACGGACCGCTGGAACCGCAGTGCCCGTGACGCCTCCTGGGGTCCCTGGGGACGGGAGCCTGCCCGTCGGGCGGCCGGCCGGCTTGGCTCGGACGGCGAGCACCGACGCCTGGTGGAGCCTCGGCGATCGGCGTGGGAAGGCAGGGGCAGGGCTCGAGCTGAGCTTGAAGTTGGGCGTGTCCCTCCACAAGAGGAGAATTCAAAAATGGTAAAACAATAGTCGGGGACGACTCTTCTATCATCTTTCGCTGGTTATTTTTGAATGTTTTCGGACTATATTTTAGTTTTTCCTCCAGTATCCGCCTGTAGGAGGACATGCCCGACCTAAAGCTAAACGGTGTTTGGGCGATTTCGTGGACCGCTTCCCTTTTGATGTCGTTTTGCAGCAGAGGCAGAACGAGGACAAAACCGAAAGAAAGCGAAAACACAACTAAAGACGAACAACACTCTTTACGTAACTGGAGGCCCTGGTCAAGGAGCAAAGTCCCAGTCGCGTTCCTCCGAGCTTGCGCAGACGAGCAAACAGCAAGAGAGGAGAGTTTGTTTTCAGACTCGGCGCAGCTCAGGGCGTGCGCTGCCTCTTGGGTGAGCAATCCGAGGAGGACTGCCTGGCGTCTGGCCAAGGAAACTCCGGTATGTCTTTTGTAGCTCTCAGGACCCCCTCACGCCCATTCCTTCATCTCCTCCTCAGCCTCCTCGCTACTCTCCCTCCGTCTTCCCATTCTCCCTCCTCCGCCCTCCCTCAGTACGTCTCTCTCCCCATAGTTACCTCTCCTCGGCTTTTTTCTCCATCGGTTTTGTTTCCTCCTCTTCCTCCTCCTCCTCCTCCTCCTCATCCTCATCCTCCGCCCTCGTCCTCGTCCTCCTCCTCTTCGTGCGCTTCCTCCTCCTTCTCATCATCCTCAACCCTACGCTGGCGTCCTCCTCCTCCTCCTCCTCCTCCTCCTCCTCATCATCATCATCATCATCATCGTCACCATCAGCATCAGCATCAGAAACAGCATCATCATCATCATCATCATCATCATGATCATCATCATCATGATCATCATCATCATCATCATCATCATCATCATCATCATCATCATCATCATCATAGGCTCGCCTCAGGTACGGTCGATCATCATCATCATCATCATCATCATCATCATCATCATCATCATCATCATCATCATCATCATCGTCGCGGGCCGCGTCTGGTCTGGCCTCGAGAGCTACATATTGCGACCCCCGTGAGGTACACCGGCTAGACTGTACGCTAGCCAAAAAACTACGAGCCATGCTAAAGGGAGCTGCGCATCATCAGGACCCGAATGGCCATCATCGATCTATGACAACGCTCCAGATCTTTCGAGAGTGGCAAGTGCCCCCTACTGCTATTGAACTTTTAGTGCGGCGTCGCAGATGGTGGCAGAGCATTATCAGTAACGTCAGCCACCATGGCCAGTTCCTCGCGGTCTTTTTTGGAAGATGTGATTTTGAGAAGCAGGCGGCCACAAGCAACCAACCTGTGTCTGTCTCCACCCTCGATGAGCATGGCGAGATCGACGAGCGTGCTCATCCATGGGCGCGCCAGCTCTCGGCTGACCTCGAGTGCCTCCTTTCGCATTCGATTGACGAATCACTCCGAGAGCTGTGGCAACCGAGGACGATTGAAAGACTTTGGATCGACGGTGACATTCGTGACGCTGTTATTCAATATGATACGAGCGCTACGCGCAGGCTTCTGGACATGCCAGTGCCCCCCCCCCCGAGGGACACGCGATCTCTGAGGCCGTCCCGTCCCAGAATCAGAAGGCTGAGACCGACAGTGACGATGAGCTCCTTCTTCCTTTCGGATGTGGGCACCCTGGGTGCGGTCTTCGGTTCGGTACAATACGTCATTCGGTAAACCATCAAACTACAAGCAAAGCTGAAGGACATGGACAGCCCCAAATATTAACAACTACAGTATGACAACAAGTGCATTGTATGCAATACTATGTTACCTTGCGTACATCACGTTGTACGACAGTTACGACGATCATGGCTACAAGGTCGGTGTATCGCGGAACTCTATGGGCACCGTCAACATGTAGGACATGCCCTATGGCTGAATACCACGTGGATTCTACATGTATCCCTGAATATTATGATCCTGAACAAGCTACGGCAACACGTAGCTACCCACAGTCCTCCGTCGCCATCGGGTTCGTTGCTCAAGGCCGTTTCTCGCAGGGAGGCTGTTGGCACCACCGCCCAACATTCGAGTTGGCCCTCCACGGTGCCGCCCCCACCGCGTCTCCCACGAGCTGTGGAGGACACATTGGCGGCCAGACGCGAGCTGAGACGCGCTGCCGACCGACTCCTGCTACCTGCTCGCGTGAAGGCACTTGCTCGAGCGAAACCACTCAGTGCTGGTGCTTCTAGAGCAACATCGACTGCAGGCACAACGGTCCCAGCCCCAGCGTGGACGCGACTGGCAGCGGCGACCCCGACACTACCTCCACTACCTGCTGCGCCCCAACACGAAGACGCCAGAGGACGTGGTGAATGAGGCGAAGGCGAAGGCCCTACCCCCCCGAGAGGGCTGCGTGGCGCCACCCCCTGCGCTCCTCCCAGGCCTCGCGAGGATCTGGGCCAAGCTCGGGGAGAGCCGAGGGATCACCACCGGCGGCCAAGCCCAGGCTTACGGGCCCTCCACGGCCTCGAGGAGCAGCGGCAGCGGTCGACGACGACGAGGGCGAGGAGGACGGCGACCGACGCAGGAAGCCGAAGCGCCGAGGCGGGAGGAGAGCCCGCCGAGGCGAGCATCAGGTCAAGACATGGCGCAGCAAGGACAAGAACCTACTGGCGCTGCTCCAGGCGACATTCAACCTCGTGCTGCAGACGGCACACAAGAACAGGCTCGCCTCCTCCGTCTCGATAGACACATACACGATGCCGACGAATCACAACATGGTGATCTAGATCGCCGAGGAGCTCGAGGGGCACAAAGGATTGCTCGATTTTCTCTGCACGCAGGGGGCCGAGGGCGAGAAGAGGATGAAGGAGACCGGCTCCCCCGCAGCCAGCTGAGCGCTAGTGGCCTTAGAGGGCCTGATGATGTGCGACACTCCACTCGGCGCTTCGTGGCCCGACGGGCGTCCATAATATGGTCCCCTTCAAGCGCTGGGGGATCCTCTTGGCATCGTGGCGCACCCTTCTGCTGGCCTTGCTTTGTGGAGGACGATCAATGGAGAGGAAGCACGCTTCCAAAAAAAATCCCAAAAAAAATACAGATGTTTTAAACTGATGAAAGTATTCAAAAAACATGTTTAGAACATTTTTCTGGCATTTTAAATACATTTTAATTTCAATAATAGGACTGTTAGGGAGTCCATTGTCGTGGCATCCACAAGCCTGGCTCCTTGTCCTCCTTCTCCCTTTCTTCCAAACAGGCGAGGGAGAGGGGGAGGAGCGTCACTTCAGCATCATCAGCGTGGAGATGGAGATGAGGAAGAAGAAGCTCCTGGAGGAGACGCCACGATGTACTGGCGTTGCCTCCGCCCTTGCGCATCCACGCTTCTCATCAATTGACCGCTTCGGCCAATGGTGTTCTGCCACGCGATCTCAGGGAACATTGAGGGGGGAGGCCTAGAAGACGGGATGGGGGGAACAGAGGAGAGAACGGAAGTCGTGAGAGGGGCAGAAGCGGTAGATACAACTAAAATGTGTGAGTTATGGCGAGTACCGCGACGGAATCTTGAGAGCGAAGGGCTGAAAGAGAGTGAACTCGAGCATGGGTGCGCGGGATTCCCGCGCAGTTCCTGATGCAGGCAGAGCGTCGAATCGGCCGAACACACACATACACACACATACACACATTCACACACACACATTCACACACACACACACACACACACACACACACACGCACGCACGCACGCACGCACACACACACACACACACACATTGTGACACGTTTTGTCGGGAGCCTTGTTCGAGTTTGCGGTCGGCCCACTCCGCGGAGGGAAGAGTCGAGAGTCAGGTGGGAGGGCAGAAGAGTGGAGGGAGGAGGGTGGAGGGAAGGAGAGGAGGAGGATGAGGAGGAGGAGGAGGAGGAAGAGGAGCAGGAGGACGAGGAGGAGGAGGAGACGGAGGAGACGGAGGGAGGAGACGGAGGAGACGGAGGAGGGGAGGAGGAGGAGGAGGAGAGAAGGAGGAGGGAGGAGGAGGAGGAGAAGGAGAAGAAGAAGAGAACTAAGAAACATAAGACAAATAATCATACTAATAACAATAGAAGAAGAGGAGGATGGAGGAGGAGGACAGAGAGGAGGAGGAGGAGAGGAGGGGGGGAGGGGGAGGGGGAGGGGAGGGGAAGGAGGAATTATGGAGGAGGTTTTGTTCTCACCAGCGTGATTCTTGCACCGCAAAATCGCAGGCAGCGGAGCTGCGTCCCGCTCCAGGAGCCGTGAGCGTGAGCCCCGACGGCTCCGCAGAAGGGGCCCACGGCAGAGGCCACGGCCCCAGGGGAGGCCGGGGCAGAAGCGCCAGGCATAGCACGCTCTGGCGGGCGGACGCTCCGAGTGGGGGCAGCCGGAGTCGTCAGAAACAAGCGCAGGGCCCGAGTTCCCAGTTCTGAGTTCTCGAATGTTGGCCCTGCTCATCGTCAGGCAGGCTGACGCGAACCGCGGCGTGCTGACCAGCATGGGGCAGGAGGTAGGAGGTAGGCAGTAGGAGGTAGGAGGTAGGAGGTAGGAGGTAGGAGGTAGGAGGTAGGAGTAGGGGGAGGAGGAGGAGGAGGAGGAGGAAGGAGGAGGAGGAAGGACGAGGAGGAGCAGGAGGAAGGAGGAGGAGGAGCAGGAGGAGGAGGAGGAGGAGGAGGAGGAGGAGGGAGGAGGAGGAGGAGGAGGAGGAGGAGGGCGGAGGAGGAGGAGGAAGAGGAGGAGGAGGAATGCGCTCAACGCTGACGGCAGCCGCCCTCCATGCACCGACGCGAGGGACAGGCGCACCCCAAACAGGGCCGAGAAGAGCAGCCAATTGGTTGTTGTTGCACTCGTCGAAGCCACCGTGCTGCGGGTCGAGGGGCGACGACGACGACGACGACGACGACAGCTGTAAACATAACAATGGGAGCACACCGAAAATCCGCACCGCGGAGCCCCAGTGCAGCCAGGCGCTCAAGGACAGTCTGATACTGTTCTTGGCATCGCTCGGACGTGTGCATTTTCTTCTCTGCGAAGACCACCGAAGAGCAGCTTGGATTATCTTGCGAAGAAAAACACGCACGAAACCGAAAAACACACGGGGAATGGACGTCCGAACGATGGCGAGTGTCCGCCCCCCTCAATCCGACCAGTGCACTCGGAAACGGCACGAGAGGATGACCTCCTGGTTTTTCGTGCTGATTGCTTGTCCCGTCCATGAGAGCCGCGTCGGAGGAGTGGCCAGGTTTCAGAATTTATCAAATGAGTTGATGGTGTTCCGCTCCGTAGTGCCGAATACGTGCGTACTTGATGTATTCCCGCTCCCTTGCTGCAAAGAGGGATTCGTGCTGCACGTAGTGCGGTGCTTGTTGCATCGTCACGACCCCGGACGTTCCTGACCCAGATCCGGATCCGGATTTGGATTTGGATAACCCGAATCCGCGATCCCAATCCCTGTCCATGAGAGCGCAGGTCAGAGATCATTCCTCTGCTCACCGCACCGATCCGGCTCCAGATCCAGATCCGGGTGCGGATCTGGATTTGGATAATCGGAATCCGCGATCCCAATCCCCGTCCATGAGAGCGCAGGTCTGAGCTCATTCCTCTGCTCACCGCACCGATCTGGCTCCAGATCCGGATCCTGGTTTGGATCTGGATTGGGATAATCCGAATCCGTGATCTCAAATCCCGTCCATGAGAGCGCAGGTCTGAGCCTATTCTTCTGATCAACGCACGGATCTGGACCTGGATCCGAATCCGCGATCCCAATCCCCGTCCATGAGAGCGCAGGTCTCAGCTCATTTCTCTGATCCGCGCATGGATCTGGTTCGGGATCCGGATCCTGATCCGGGTCTGGATTGGGATAATCCGAATCCGTGATCCCAATTCCTATCCATGAGAGCGCAGATCTGAGCCTGTTCCTCTGATTAGTGCACGGATCTGTTTCGGATCAGGACCCGGATCCAGATTGGGATAATCTAAATCCGTGATCCCAATCTCCGTCCCTGAGAGCGCAGATCTGAGCCTGTTCCTCTGATCAGCGCACGGATCCCATCCAGATCCGGACCTGGATTGGGATAATCCGAATCCGTGATCTCAATCGCCATTCATGAGATCGCAGGCCTGTGCTATTCTTTTGATTAGCGCACGGATCCAGTCCGTATCGGGACTCGGATTAGGATTATCTGCAGGTTTGTCCATGAGAGCGCAGGTTTGAGCTCATTCCTTTGATCAGCGCACGGATCCGGTCCGGATCCGGATCTGGGGCTGGGTTGGGATAATCCGAATATGTGATTCCAATACCCGTTTTGCGGGCAGAGTTCGCGAATTTCATTCTTCTGATCAGCGTAAGAATCCGGTTCCGGGTCTGGATCCGGATCCGAACTCGGATTGGGATGATCCGAACCGGTGATCCCAATCCCCACACTGCGTGCAGAGGTCATGAGCTGATATCCTCCTGACCATCGCACGGATCCGCATTGGGATAATCCGAATCCGTGATCCCAATCTCCGCCCCTGAAACCATGGGTCGGAGCTCATCCCTCTGATCACTTCACCCATCTGGATCCAGGAATCCAGATCCGGCTTGGGATCATCCGGTCAAGTGATTCCCATTCCCGCCCTGCGTGCAGAGGTCGCGCGCTCATTCCTCTGATCGACGCACAGGTCCGGTTCTGGATCCAGATCCAGATTGGGATGGTCTGCATCTGTGATCCCACTCCCCGCCCCGGAGACACAAGGTCTGAGCTCAACTGTCTGATCAGCGCGCTGGATCCGGTTCCCGATCCATCCAGACCCAGCTTGAGGTAATCCGAGCCCGTGATCCGAATCTCCGTCCCTGAGTGCATACGTTTGCATGTCTGTGCTCATCCCTCTGATCAGCGCACGGATCCAGATTCGGATTAGTCATCCGAATCCGTGATCGCATTCCCCGCCCCTGAGTGCATAGGTCTGAGCTTCGTAGCTCAGCTGGTGGGTCTCGGAGTTCTGCTTCTGGTCCTTGCTGGTCAGCTCGTCGCCCTAGTCGCTTTGCAGGAGAGTCAGGTAGGTTTTCCTGTAGTCCACGTAGCTCTGGCTGTGGTCCAGGAAGCTCTGTTTGTGGTCCTCGTAGCACAGCTGGTGCCTCCGGTAGCTCAGCTGGTGGTCCTCGTAACTCAGCTGCTGGCCCCCGTACGGTGGGTGGACAAAAAGTGTCCTCACGTGTCTCGCCCAGACCTTGAGTTATCAAAGCACGTCGGACCCAAATGTACACCCCCCTGCCCCAAAATTCAAAGTTGACGGGTGTGGGCGGTAGGCCAAAGGCCGGGGAGAACATGTGGATTTTTCAATTTTGAGTTCGGGGGAGGGGTGCGAAGCAAGGGCATTTCGAAGTTGTTGTTGTTGTTGTTGTTGTTGTTGTTGTTGGTGTTGTTGGTGTTGTTGTTGATGTTGCTGTAATTGCTGTTGTTGTTGTTGTTGTTGTTGTTGTTGTTGTTGTTGTTGTTGTTGTTGTTGTTGTTGTTGTTGTGGTTGTGGTTGTGGTTGTGGTTGTGGTTGTGGTTGTTGTTGCTGTTGTTGTTGCTGTTGCTGTTGCTGTTGTTGTTGTTGTTGGTGGTGGTGTTGGTGTTGGTGTTGGTGTTGGTGTTGTTGTTGGTGTTGTTGTTGTTGTGTTGTTGCTGTTGCTGTTGCTGTTGCTGTTGTTGTTGTTGAATGCTAATTACTAAACCATAGTAATAGTTATTCTTATTTTAATGGACCCCTTAAAGGCGCCCTGGCGCTCTCGCCGAGGCGCCGGCTGCATTTTCATTGAAAATGAGGCTCACTATCAAGCGTTTTGGGGGACCGCCAAAACTGGCCCCCCAACAACAAAAACGCTCCCGTTCGAGACTTCCTCCCGTTTTACCTCGGACAGGCGCGCTACTCTTTCTCTCATCGGCGTCGCCCCCCAGCAACAACAACAACGCTCCCACTCGAGACTTCCTCCCTTTTTATTCAAGGCGGTGCTCTTACTCGCCGCCGACAGCCCCCGTCCCGACAAAACCAGCGCTCCCGCCCGAGACTTCCGTTTTACGCTGGACTGGCGCCCTTTTCTCCTCCTCTTCCTCGTCCTCCTCCTCGTCGTCCTCCTCCTCCTCCTCCTCCTCCTCCTCCTCCCTCCTCCCCCCTCCCTCCTCTTCCTCCCTTTTCCTTCCTCCACCCCCTCATCTTCTCCCTCCTCCCTCCTCCGTCCCTCTTTCCTCCCTCCTTCTCCCTCTCCCCTTCTCGTTCCTCTCGTCCTCCTCCTCCTCCTCCTCGTCCTCCGCCTCCTCCTCCTCCTCCTCCTCCTCCGCCCTCCTCCTCCTCCTCCTCATCCTCCTCCTCCGTCTTTTCCTCCTCCTCTTCCTCCGTTTTTTCCTCCCTCTCCTCGTCCTCTTCCTCCTCCTCCTCCTCCTCCTCCGTCTGCTCCTCCTCCTCCGTCTTTCCTCCTCTCCTCCTCTCCTCCTCCTCCTCCCTCCTTCCCCCTCCCTCTTCCTCCCTCCTCCTCCCTCCTCCTCCTCTTCTCCCTCATCCTTCCTCCCTCTCCCGTCCCTTTTTCCTCCCTCCTCCTCCCTCCTCCTCCCTCCTCCTCCCTCCACCCTCCTCCTTTCCCTTTTCGTCCCCATTGTCTTCTCCCTCCTCCTGCCTCCCTCCTCCCTCATCCCTTCCCCTTTCCGTCCTCCCTCGTCGTTCCCGCTTGATACTTCCTCACCTTTCAATCAATACTGGGGCCAGCATCGCTTCTGGGGGGTTTCCAAGAGTCCCTGTTGAACCTTAATTAATAAATCGCCATCATTTTTGGAGAGCATAGATAATGTGGAGGAAGGAGGAGGAGGAGGAGGAGGAGGAGAAGAAGGATGGATGACTTCCAGGGGCTCCAAGGATCGAGGGTCGAAGGATTGATTTCAGGGATTTCTTGAGAGGGTGTGGAGGGGCATGTGGAGGACGCGAGCATGGGAGCGGCAGCGCTTGGGGGCGTGAGCGTTCAGGGCCACGCGCCGATGCCGCAGGATGGCGGCGTAACAGTTCGAACCAGGAGTAAGAACCACCTCGTCCTGGGAGGTACTGCTACTACAAGTATTCCTCCTTCCTCCCCCTCCTGCATCCTCCTCCTCCTCTTCCTCTTCCTCTCCGTCATCTTCCCTCCCCATCCTCGTCCTCTTCCTCCTCCTCCGAGATGCGGGGCGTGCGCAAGGCGATTACGATGGCGATGCGCCTTCCGAGATGTGGATGTCGAAATTCCTCGGAAGAGGTGGTGGCAATGCATTCTTGGAAAGGAGATCTGGGCGAGGGAATGTCGGGCCCTGCGCGCCAGAAACATCCCCCATGATGGGGTGCGGTATCCAGAAGGATGCATGTGACATGTGGAAGCATGGCGCATGATGGTAAAATGACTGCGGTTGTTCTTGATGTCGTTGCTGTTGCGTTTGTTGGTTTTGTGTTTTGTTGTTGTTGTCGCTGTCGTCGTTGTAGTTGTTGTGGTCATGATCAAGTCGCGTCGCCTTGGCGCCACGGGCGTGGGCACATTTTGTCCGTGCGCCGTAGCGCGGCAGGCGGTCTTCGCGGTCCAGTTGGTAGTTTTGGTCGTCCTGTTCGTGGTTTTCTTGGTTCAGCTTGCGCCCCTCGTCGCGCAGCTTGTGGCTCCCGTGGCTCGGCGGGCGGCTCACTTGGCACCGCAGGTGGGTCCTGTAGTAATTTTGGTGGCCCCCGTAGTGCTGTTCGTAGTTGAGCTTGTGGTCCTCTTAGCGCTGCTTGTTGCTCTCGTGGTTCTGCTGGTGGCTCTCGTAGTTCGGCAGGTGGGTCCTGAAGCGGTTCTGATGACTCTCGTCGCTGTGCGCGTGGTCCTCGTGGTGCAGTTTGTGGTTCCCCAAAGTCGTTTGGTGGCCGTGGTCGTTCTGCTGGTGGCGGCGGTCGCTATGGTCGTTGCCCTCGTAGCTCAGATTGCGGCCCAAGTAGCTTTCCAGGTGGGCCCCTTAGCCCTGCCTCTCGTAGCTCAGCTCGCGGTCCTCGCAGCTCCGGCTCCCGTGGCTCTGCTGGTGGGTCTCGCATCTCGGCATGTGGGATTTGAAGCTCGTCTGATGGCCCTCGTAGGTGTGAGCGTGGTCATAGTATTTCAGCTTGTGGTCCCAGAAGGTCGTCTGGTGGCCCTGGTAGCTCTGCTGGTGGCTGTAGCATCTCAGGGGGCACGCTTTCTTCGTAATTCCCGAGTTCCGACTCGGAGTCGTCTGCCAAGTCGTAGTGTTCCACGTTCTGGGTGTCCCTGTAGTCCTGGCGATTGTCGTAGCCCTGCGGTCCGTCGTAGTACTGGGGGTCGTAGGAGATAGGTTGTTATCGAAGGGCTTCGTCGTAGGCGGCGCAGTCGTAGTCGTATCGTCGTAGGCGGCGCGGCCATTGTCCACCAGTACCTCCACGACGACGTACTTTGTAACCCTTTCGGTCTGGTCGGTCGTGTCGTTTTTGGTGATGGCCTTGGTGGCGTACTTGGTGTCGTTCTTGGGCTGTCTGTTACGCAACCCTTTCTCGGGTTGCGTATTCCGCAGTTATTCCTCGGGCTGCATGTTACGCAACTCGTCCTGTCCCGTATTGGACGCCATCATGAAGGCAGTCGTAACGATGGTCATGATGTCGTTGAGGTGTGGTTGTAGCCCGTATCGGATGAAGTCGCCCGTTCTCTTGAGAGCTGCATCTGCTTGTGTTCGTCTATGCGTGTATAGTCTCGGCATCTTTGTTGGTAGTCTCTACCGAGGTGGGTAATATCGTAGCCTACGTTGTGGACGTCCGGCTTGTAGTACATCAGCTGGTGGATGGTTTTCCTCTCCCGGATGATCATTTTGTCCCGGATGACGCGCGCCGCCAATGGCGGCGGCGCGTTCGGGCCAGTCCCCCCCTCGCGGGCGGGAGGAAGAGGGAGAGGACGAGGACGAGGAGGAGGAGGCGGAGGAGGAGGCGGAGGCGGAGGCGGAGGCGGAGGCGGAGGCGGAGGAGGAGGAGGAGGAAAAAGAAGAAGAAAAAGACGAAGACGAAGACGAAGACGAAGAAGAAGAAGAAGAAGAGGAGGAGGAGGAGGAGGAGGAGGAGGAGGAGGAGGCGGAGAGGGAAGAGGAGGAGGAGGAGGAGGAGGAGGAGGAAGCAGAGGAGGTTGCGCATGCCCTCCGGCGGTCGGTGGCGAGGCAGGCGGGGCCAACGCAGCGGCCCTTCGCAGGCCCCTCGGGCCCTTCGGCGGCGACGGCCGCGGCCCTGCGCGCGCGCGGGGAGCCCTCGGCGCGGCCGCGCGCGCGCCACCTCGCCGCGCGCATGGGCGCCGCGGTCGCGCAGCCCGCGTTCAGCCCGCCTCCGCCGGATCCGCCCTGGCTGGCGCTTCCGGACGCGCCCGGGCCCGAGGCCGCAGCCACAGCGCCGGTGCCCATCGCGGCGGAGGACCCCCGACGGTCGGGCGTCTCATACATCAGGAGGGGAACAGACGCACAGACACAATGAATCGCCGACCCCCAGGAAAATACTTATGGGAAAGTGTGGGAAATGGGGGGGATGACAAACATCCAGAAAATGTAGGAAAATATGGGGAATCATTTTGTCTGCGTGAATTTATTTGTGTGACCCAGGGCTCCCCTTCAGAGATCCTGGCTAGAACGCACCCCAGGAGAGGTCCGCGGAACACAGTCGAGACGCTGGAGGAAGGAAGCACCGGTTTGGGCTCGGGGGGGGGGCTCCGGCGTTTGGGCAGTTCCGCAGATTTTTCATGGCGCCAACATCGCAGAGCGGATTTCGTTCGGAAAACAAGAGGATGAGCCTGGAGTGTCCAGGAGGATTTCGCTCCAGACTTCGCAGTGAATTTCGTGCGCAGTTTTTTGGGGCCAGGAATGAAGACTGAAACAAACCCACGCGAAATTCGCTTCGTTTTTCACACGCCGTTTCGGGGTTTACGCAAACATCCGCTGCAGTACGTCTGCAAGCTCGGTGCAGTGATAGATTTACGCAGTGGGCCTGTTCGTGACCGAGGCCCGCCGTGGCCAGAGAGGCCCCGTCGTTCCTTATTCGGCGTCGTTCTCGTGGCACGATGACTGCAGCGGTATCGGTCTTGCCCCCCCAGTCCCACCATGAGGGGGGACGATAATTTGTGTGTGTGGGTGGGGGGGATGGAGGGTTTCAGGAAGAAGCTGCCCTAGAGTGGCCCAGACGGGGGCCTCGACCGGGTGGCCCGGAGGTGCACGGAAGGTGCACACCTGGGCCTCGCGTAATTGGGGGGGAGGTCAATGGGGGGGAAGCGAGGGCTGCAGAAAAGAGGCCCTCTGGGCCCAAGGGGGCCTGCAGGGCCTGAAACGTACACCTTTCGTTCTCCCTAATGTATCGTCCCCCCCACTCAGCGACGCACAACACATCCTTTCCCCCCTCCTCTTCTTATTGCCTCCCCGATGAGCAACGCCCGACGAGAGACCTTCGCAAGGGGCAGGGGGAGATCGTGCTGGGAGGTCTTCAGAGTTCTCTTGGCGCCCAGGGGGTGGGGACGCCTGTGGGCCCCATGGGGTCGTCGCAAGTCGGCTGAGAACTCCACAGGCCAGCGACTCGACAAAACCGAGTCGTCGGGGGAATCGCTGTGTGTGTACCGCTGTTTGCGAAATCAACGCCAATGCCGAATCTTAATAACAAGACGTCGAAGCGCGTCCCGCTCGCCCCCGTGTTACAAGGTTGACGGGAATCGACTGGCCCTTCGCAAGAGTTGGCGTTGATTTTTCAACATTTCGAATTCCCCTCCGGCACGGTTGCCCGCCAACTGTGAAATATGGAGTGAGGGGGGCTTTCTCGACATTTCCATTGGCGGGCGTTTGTTTCACAAACAGCAGTACGTCTGAGGGGTGGTGCAACGGTGCAACATGGTACAACCTGCGCGCCGTCACCCACCCTGGCCATGCCAATCCTTGGCCCAGGTTGGGTAGCTGGGATCGGTGCCTGTGACAGTGTGCAGTTGACGTTCTCCGTGTCCAGCCCCTGGATTTGCGAAGTCCCAGCTGGCCTCAGCAGCGCTTCAACACCCCCACGCCGCTTGGCTTGCGGCGGCGCCACCGCGGCGCTCCGCGTCCCAGGGTCGGGGAGTTGAGACAGCCCTACTATCCTGGCAGCCTTGTTGGGACCAGCCTGGAGTACTTCTGCGGGCTGTCTGGGCGCAACCCCCAGCCTTGCCGCCACCATTGAGCGCTACACGCCAGCACCAGTTCTGGCCAGGCCAATTCTTGGCCCAGGATTGGCCATGATCGTCAGCATCACTCAGACATACTCATTACATGTGTGCCTCTGCATTCCAGGGGCGACGCGCGCGCTGCGAAATCTTAGTATGTGCTCGGCGACGGGTGCTTACAGACTGTACCGCTCGGGAAACGATATGTTACAAGATGGTTGTACTATATGTTCGGGTCGAACGCACGCCTCCAAAGAGGACACATAGTACTAGTACTTCCTTGTTTTCCCATGATCGGTGTCGACGTAGAGCTGGCGTCCTCCTGTCCTGTCCGGAGGGCACTGATTGACTGGCCACCCAGGTGTGTACTACCAAACCCGCACTCCAGGAACCACACATACAACCAAAACGGTTTCAGAAGCAGCCAGCATTCGGCTGGAGTTGGGCCCCCCTGGCCCTGGGACCCAGCAGTAATCCAGAAAGCTCTGGACGGGCCAGCCGGTTCTCGGAGCGACCTGGCCTTGATGTCTTGCCTCGCCTTTGGACACTCGAGCTCTCCCCGCCCCGCCCGGCCCCCCCCGGCGGCTCCAACACCTGGCAGGCCGCCCCAAACGGGGGAGAATGATCACAGTGGAGGTGGTCGGGCGGGGCTGGGACAAGGATACACATTGTTCATTTCGAATTCTTCGAAAGCTCTTTGATTTTTTGGGGGGCCAGGATCCTTTCATTTCTCATTGTTCTATCCTGGGCCTCTTGCTGGCCACTAGGGGGCCAGAAACAATTAGAAACGAGCACAATTAGAAATGAGCACGATTAGAGATGAACGACGTGTACGGTCGGACCGAGGTATAAGACCGAGGTCGGCTCGGGGAGGGCGCCCTGCTGTTCTTCATACCTGTTGGATGTTCTCGTGCATCTTGGGGGAGGGTACCCTCGAATGTCCTTCAGCTAGGCCGACGGAGGCTCTTATTTTCTTGAAGGCTGCTCCTCTGTCCTAGGTCTGGCCGTAGATCCGTTCCGGAGCGTTCCGGACCGCTCCCACAGCGTTCCGGAGCGCTCTGAGAAGGCCGCGGCGCCCGATGCCTCTTCCAGAGTTGCCAGATCTCAGAGATCCAGATCTTCGGAGGTGGACAGAACCCCCACCCTGACACGTCGATTAGTGAATTGTCCGTTCTCGGTTCTCGAGAGGGCGCCACGGCCGCCATTTTTCAGGCTGGCGCCCGCCAGGTTTGGGCACGAGGTCGTTTATCCTGAACCATCTTTTACTAAAGGGGGTTCTGTCCATCCCCGACACTAGCGTCGATAAGCTTCTGGGAACCGATGAGATAGCGCCGATTTAGCGTCGATTCGTGTCGACTAGCGTCGATTTAGCGTCGATGCTCGTCGATGAGCGTCGATTCGCCAGGGCCAGCAAGATGGTATGCGAGGCTCCCTCAGCGTCGGTTCGTATTTATGAGCCAGCAAGATGGTACGGAAAGCTCCCATGAGTTGACATCGAAGTTGGATGTCAGAGACCCCGGGTTCTGTCCATCCCCGAGATCTATCCTCACCCGAAGCTGTCCTCGTCCTGGACCCGTCTTAGGGCGGCAGAGTCGTCACAGAGCGGAGGGCGAAGCCTGACCCGCCCCGGGTGCCTTTCCCGCGCCCCCGCTCCCCGCCCCAGCCCCCCGCCGCCTCGGTCACGCGCGGAGCGGGGCAGCGGGGAGGGGGGAGAGGCTTCTCAGAAGCACCCCTGCCCTTGGCATCGCTCGGACGCGTGAGGATTTTCTTCTCGGCGAGGACCACGGACGAGCAGCTTGGATCATCTTGCAAAGAAAAACGTACGAAACCGAAAAACGCACGGGGAATGGACGTCCGAGCGATGGCGAGTGCCTCTTAGAAGGCGCGGGTCTGCTCCACAGATGTCAGGCCAGCGCCCCCTGAGGAGCGGCCTCCCTCTCAGAAGCCCTCCCTCCTCCCCCCCCTTGTCGGCCCTGATTAGTAGGCCGACCCTGCCAAGTCAAGGGTACCCTCGTGTCCTGCGTCTCGCGGCCCATGCCTCCTGCACTCCTGTGGCAGCGTGCCCCTCGGAAAGGGCCTCTTCTCCTCTCGTGTGCCCTCTCCTCTCGTGTGCCCATGCCTCCTGAGGAGCGGCCTCCCTCGGAGAAGCCTTCCCTCCCCCCCCCCCTTGCCACCCCCCCCTGCGCGGCGCCAGCTCACCGCGAGGACGGAGCGGGGGCGCCGGGTGCCGGCGCGTCCCTGCCCGCGGTGCTGGCTCGGCGGCTCATCCTGCAGCGGGGCGGGGGCTGCGCGTCCGGCGTGGCCGGCACCGCGGGGAGAACCCCCCCCCGGGCGAGCCTCAGGACTCCGCTGCGGAGGAGCCTGAGGTTTGTGGAGGTCGATTAAGGGAGCGGAGGCATGCTGCCAGCTAATTTCCAGGTGTCTAGAACATGTGCTAAACATGTTTTACGACCGGAAGAGGTGCGCTCTCGACCCGCGAATCAAAACAAGAGTGTTAAACATGTTTAAAACATGTAATTATAGCCGGAGTGCAGTATCCCCAAACAGGGTTTTTAGACCCACTGCGGTTTCCAAGGTCGATCGCGTGCCCGTCCAGTGCGGGCTGGCATGGCCTGTTAAAGCATGCCTCCTCCTCCTCCTCCTCCTCCTCCTCCTCCTCCTCCTCCTCCACCTCCTGTTCATCCCGAACGGCATCTCGGAGCCCAGAGTTGCGAGGATGTCTCCAGCGTAACGGGCTGGACCACCTCGCGCGCGGCATTTCGGACCCCAGAGTTGCGACGATGTCTCGGGCGAAACGTGCTGCGAGGAAGTCTCAGGCGAAACGGGCCGGACCACCTCGAGCGCGGCGTCTCAGAGCTCCGAGTTGCGGGGGCCTCCTGGTGCCTCCTGGGGCCTCCTGGGGACCTCCTGGGGCTTCCTCCTGGGCCTCCTGTGGCCTCCTGAACTCCACCTGGGGTTTCCTGAAGCCTCTTGGGGCTCCCAGGGGGGATATCTAACCTGTGGCCGTTTGGGCCTCTCCAAATGGAGGGGGGGGGCACAAGAGCAGGAAGAATCAACGAATCGACACCGGATGTGTATTAACTTGACACGTTCTGATAGGCGGCCTCCTGGGGCCTCCTGGGAGCCTCCTAGGAATCTCCTGGGGACCCCTGGGGCCTGTCCTGGGCGTCCTGCGGCCTCCTGGAGCTCTCTGGGGCCTCCCCCTCCTCCTGCCTGCTCCCTCATGCACATCATCCGCCTCCTCCTTCTCCCTTCCATCTTCTCCTCCTCCTCCTCCTCCTCCTCCTCCTCCTCCACCTCCTGTTCATCCCGAACGGCATCTCGGAGCCCAGAGTTGCGAGGATGTCTCCAGCGTAACGGGCTGGACCACCTCGCGCGCGGCATTTCGGACCCCAGAGTTGCGACGATGTCTCGGGCGAAACGTGCTGCGAGGAAGTCTCAGGCGAAACGGGCCGGACCACCTCGAGCGCGGCGTCTCAGAGCTCCGAGTTGCGGGGGCCTCCTGGTGCCTCCTGGGGCCTCCTGGGGACCTCCTGGGGCTTTCTCCTGGGCCTCCTGTGGCCTCCTGAACTCCACCTGGGGTTTCCTGAAGCCTCTTGGGGCTCCCAGGGGGGATATCTAACCCGTGGCCGTTTGGGCCTCTCAAAATGGGCCTCCTGGGAGCCTCCTGGGAATCTCCTGCGGACCCCTGGGGCCTGTCCTGGGCGTCCTGCGGCCTCCTGGAGCTCTCTGGGGCCTCCTGGGGCTCCCAGGGTCCCAGGGGGATATGTAACATGTGGTCTTCTGGGCCCCCAGGCTGGACCACCTCTTGCGCAGCATCTGAGAGCTCAGAGTTGCGAGAATGTCTTGTGCGAAACGGGCCGGACCACCTTGCGCACGGCATCTCAGAGCTCAGAGTTGCGAGGATGTCTCAGGCGAGATGGGCCGGACCACCTCGCGCAGGGCATCTCGGAGCCCAGAGTTGCGAGGATGTCTCAGGCGAACGGACTGGATCACCTCGCGCGCGGCATCTCGGACCCCAGAGTTGCGACGATGTCTCGGGCGAAACGTGCTGCGAGGAAGTCTCAGGCGAAACGGGCCGGACCACTTCGAGCGCGGCGTCTCAGAGCTCCGAGTTGCGGGGGCCTCCTGGTGCCTCCTGGGGCCTCCTGGGGACCTCCTGGGGCTTCCTCCTGGGCCTCCTGTGGCCTCCTGAACTCCACCTGGGGTTTCCTGAAGCCTCTTGGGGCTCCCAGGGGGGATATCTAACCCGTGGCCGTTTGGGCCTCTCAAAATGGAGGGAGGGGGGGGGCACAAGAGCAGGAAAAATCAACGAATCGACACCGGATTTGTGTTAACTTGACACGTTCTGATAGGGGGCCTCCTGGGGCCTCCTGGGAGCCTCCTGGGAATCTCCTGCGGACCCCTGGGGCCTGTCCTGGGCGTCCTGCGGCCTCCTGGAGCTCTCTGGGGCCTCGTGGGGCTCCCAGGGTCCCAGGGGGGATATGTAACATGTGGTCTTCTGGGCCCCCAGGCTGGACCACCTCTTGCGCGGCATCTGGGAGCTCAGAGTTGCGAGAATGTCTTGTTCGAAACGGGCCGGACCACCTTGCGCACGGCATCGCAGAGCTCAGAGTAGCGAGGATGTCTCAGGCGAGACGGGCTTGACCACCTCGCGCAGGGCATCTCAGAGCTCAGAAGTTCGAGGATGTCTCAGGCGGGCTCCCAGGGTCCCAGGGAGGATATGTAACATGTGGTCTTCTGGGCTCAGAATTGCGAGAATGTCTTTTGCGAAACAGGTCGGACCACCTTGCGCACGGCATCTCATAGCTCAGAGTTGCGAGGACGTCTCAGGCGAGACGGGCCGAACCACCTCGCGCAGTGTATCTCAGAGCTCAGAAGTTCGAGCATGTCTCAAGCGAAACGGGCCGGACCACCTCTCGCGCTTCATCTCCGAGGTCAGAGTTTCCAGCATGTCTCAGGCGAAACGGGCCGGACCACCTCGCGCAGGGCATCTCCGAGCTCAGATTTTCGAGGATGTCTCAGGCGAAACGGCCCGGACCACCTCTCGCACGGCACCTCGGGGCTCAGAGTTTCGAGGATGTCTCAAGCGAAACGGCCCGGACCACCTCTCGCGCGGCGTCCCGGAGTGCAATTGTTCGAGGTGTCTCAGGCGAAACGGCCAATCCCGGCCAACTCAGAAACGAGAGTTGTGAGGATGTCTCAAGCGAAACAGCCCAGACCATCAAATTTGTGTGAGGATGTCTCTGCTCCGACTTCCCTCGGCCGGAGTTAGCTTCTATCACAACAGCACCCCGTTCAGCAAACTGTTTGGGGAAAAAACATGCCGAAAACATGTTTATATGTTTTTGACATTTTAAACACTTGTTAACATCAGTGATAGGGTTGTTAGGGTGTCCATTGTCGTGGCATCCGCAACCTTGGGTCGTGCAGGGAAACGGGTCCTAGGTCCTCTCTCGGGGAAGAGGAAGTGCCATAAGCATAAACTGCTGGTGCTCCGTGCGGATTGGTCCGCGCTGGGGCTCCTTGGCGGCGCCTCCAGCGCCGCCCCTGGCGCGCTCCGCGCGCCAGGGAGGGGGGTCCAGCGAAGATCCAAGAGGTCTGGGGGGAGCGCCAAGAGTTTATATATTTATGCCGCTTTTTCCTACATGTTCGCCGCTCTGGGCCCCCCGGGGCCCTCCCCGGGACTGTCAGAAAATTACCCACAGGATGAAGAATTGGTCCTGGGGGAAGGCCCCAGGGTGCCAGGAACCGTTTCCGTTTCCCTCAGGACCCGGTTCGTTCGTGCTACGGACCGGGGTCGAATCGCTCGAGGGCGTTCAGGAGCGCTTTGGAACGGCCGCGGCGCCTAGTACATCCTCCAGAACCGCTGGATTCGGCAGCAGATCGTGGGAACCTCGTATATTCTGTCTTTAGAGTGCACTGACGGGGGTGGACAGAACCCCCACCCTGTCACGTCGATTAGTGAATTGGCGGCCGTCATTTTCCAGGCTGGCGCCTGCCGGGTTTGGGCCCGAGGTCGTTTTCACTAAACCACGTTTCGTTTTGCTAAAGGGGGTTCTGTGCATCACCGACACTAGCGTCGATTAGCTTCTGGGAACCGATGAGATAGCGCCGATTTAGCGTCGATTAGTGCCGACTAGTGTCGATTACTAGGCGTCGATGTTCGTCTATGAGCGTCGATTCGCCAGGGCCAGCAATATGGTATGTGAGGCTCCCTCAGCGTCGGTTCGTATTCATGGGCCAGCAAGATGGTACGGGAAGCTCCCACGAGTTGCCACCGAAGCTGGATGTCAGAGATCCCCGGCCCGATTTTGTCCTGGTCCTGGCTTCGTCTTAATCCCCCGTTGTGCACCCGCGCGGCCCCGGCCCTCTCCACCGCAAGAGGAGAAGTGCCCCCGCACCGCCGCCCCCACCCCCGGGCCCGCGCTGCTTCGGGCACAGGTATATTGCCAGGGATCCTGGGCCCGAAAAAGCAGAAGGCTGGGGGTGGCCAGGTGCGGGAGCCCTTCTTGTCTCCCTCTCCTGGGCCTCTCCCTCTGCCTCTCCCCTACGCTCCCCGCTCGCGGGAGGCGCGGAGGAATGCAGTGGGGGCCCATGCCAAGAACCACCCTGCTTGCCTCCAGGGTGCCGTGGGTTTCTTGGATTGCGATGGTTTTGCGATGGAAGGCGTGACGTTCCCACATCAAACATCGATGGACGTCCTGGAGTCTCAGGGTTGGGTTTCTTGTGTAAGGTTTCTTGTGGACAGGCCTCCACTGTCGGTGGAGGGCGGCGAATTCAGCTAGTAGTGAATACAACCAGATGAGCTCGAGCTCGTTTCTTCTCGCGACGCCCTGCACGAGACTCTGGCAGGGGACTTGTAACATCAGATGTGTTCGAACTCGCTTCTCGTCGCGGCACCTTGCGGTTGCGGGTAAGTCCGGCCAGGAATGCTTCTATTTCAGATCAGTTGCGTCCGACTTGGGAGGAATTGAGAGAGGGTGCGGATTGGTCGAGGAAACGCAAACATGGAACGTGGATTAAGGTGCGTGGATCAGCGACGGGCCCCGTTCCCATACCAAATCGGCGCGATCCGTCGCCCAATCAGACGGCACTGGCTCCGTTTTTCGGGGTTTACTCTGCCCGATCCGTGGATATGGCGCCTCCGCTCAGTATCGTTTAACCGATCCCTGTCCCCATCCCCATCCCCATCCAGACCCCCACCATCTCAGCACCCCCGTTGGGAACATACCCCTTGGAACCCGAGGGAAACAGCCGACATCCCCATCTTGGGGGGGGGGAGGCGGCAAGCCAGCCAGTTGGGCCCAGGCCACGCCCAAGGGGACAGGGGTCGGTGAAGCGATGCCCACCCGCGCCAGGTCCAACCCGGGGGGGCCCAGCGGGCGTGGCGAGGGTCCCCCTCCAGGCATGGGCCCGCTGCTGGTGGCGTTCGCGAGGACACCGGGGGGGGCAGAAGGGCGGGGGGCGCCGCAGAGGGCGTGGCCCGCGGCCCGTCCAGGTGCGCGCCGCTCGGCCGCATCTCCTGGGGCTGGCTTCTCCTCTCGCCTCCTCCTCCTCCTCCTCCTCCTCCTCCTCCTCCCTCCTCCCTCCTCCTCCTCCTCCTCCTCCTCCTCCCTCCTCCTCCTCCTCCTCCTCTCTCCCTCCTCTCTCCTCCTCCTCCTCCTCCTGCCTCCTCCTCCTCCTCCTCCCTCCTCCTCCTCCTCCTCCTCCTCCTCCTCCTCGCTCCTCCTCGCTCCTCCTCCTCCTCCCTCCTCGCTCCTCCTCCTCGCTCCGCCTCCTCGCTCCTCCTCGCTCCTCCTCCTCCTCCTCCTCCTCCTCCTCCTCCTCGCTCCTCCTCCTCCTCCTCCTCCTCCTCCTCCTCCTCCTCCTCCTCCTCCTCCTCCTCCTCCTCTCCTCCTCCTCCTCCTCCTCCCTCCTCTCCTCCTCCTCCTCCTCCTCCTCCTCCTCCCTCCTCCTCCTCCTCCCTCCTCCTCCTCCTCTCCTCCTCCTCCTCCTCCTCCTCCTCCTCCTCCTCCTCCTCCTCCTCCTCTCCCCTCCCTGGAAATCATACACGGCAGGTTCACGCGGCGCTTGCGCGCCAGCGACGCGGGCGAAGGCCTTCAAGCTTGAACTGCGCATGATAGTACACTGATTGGACACGACTGGATTCAACCTTGACCGATCGGGGCCGCGATCGATTCAAGGTTGAACGGTCGACGCGGTGTCAGAAGCCTCGGCGCGCGCCGACGCCGCACGAACTTGCCGTACGATGGCTATGACCAAGATGTCACGGCATCCTATCTTCGCCGATCTTGGTCATGGTACATGCCGGCCGTCGCCGATTCGCGAGGATGATCAACGAAATGACGACGACCAAGATCGACGATGCTGGCCAAGACTGACACCGGCGTTTCCGCGTTCAGTCTCGGTCATGGTCATCGTTTCTTTCCCTCCATGCAGCCCCCCCCTCCAGGCACTGCCAAGGGGAGGGGATTCACCACCTGGGGGGTCGCTACACCTTCGAGGAGGGAGCCCTCAGGACTTCCCCCCGCCCCATCCCTGAGCAAAGGAACCTCCTTGAACCTTGATCCTCAGGAGGAGCTGGCGACCCTCTTCATTACCACCCTCGACAAGATTAAATTTCAAAAAGTTGGGAGGGCCTGGACCGAATTTGCTTTATCAGCCTTCCTACGTCATGTTTTTACCTACTTCGTCCGACCGACGTGTACGCAGTTTCCTTCTCGATGTGGGTCTGGGTGGCATTGCGTGCCAAGTACTTGTTGGCGCCCCCCTCCAATGTCGGCCATCGTGGAACTTCCGAGTCACGCCCGCTCAGACCGCTTTTCGCCCTGCTTCGACATTGAAAGAGGCGACATTGAAGGGGTGAATGGGGGCGACAGTCAAGGGGGGCGTCAACAATTTGTGAGTCGACTATGCTGAGTCGGTCGACTCTGCTGAGTCGGTCGACTCTGATGAGTCGCGTTTATGCCTCCTCTTCGTTCGGATCAGGGACATTTCGCTCGCGGACTTGGAGGTCTTAAGGCTACATCGGTGTCCTTGCTTCTCTGAACAAAAAGAAAGGCTGTAGAGGTGATCCCCCTTGGTTCTGACTGACCCCCCGATCGGGGCTTCCTCATTCCTCTTCACCCAGAGGCTCCCAAGACTCTTAGACATCGACCTCCAGCACTCTGGATGACTTTTCCGGTAACCCCAGATGTTTTTGTTCGCTGTTCGCCACCTTGTTCGCCCAAGTGCCCTGTCCTGCAGGAAAGCCGCCAAGCAGCAGGACAGCCAGAGGGCGGCCGCGGAGGAGGGCTTCCAGGACATCCTTCCCTGGGCGAAATGCCATCCGGCGGTCGACGAGCGGTCCGCTTTCGAATCCGCGTCGGCAGCTAGCTCTCGGCGACGGCGCCGCTTCTGACAGCCTCTTGCGCGCCCCAGCCATGGCTTGGAAACCTTCAGGGCAGTCACGGGGTGGGCGGTTGGGGATCGCTACTCCTTCCCCGCAGCAGTTGCAGGGGTGCGTTTGGGGATCGCTCCTCTCCTCCCCCTTGCTGCTACTGAGATCTGGATGCTGCCTGGCTGCAATGGGGACCCTAGTTGACCAGATGATTATCTACCGTGCTGTACCCATGGTCCAGCCCCCGCCGCCCCACTCTTCCAGCAAGCGCCTCAGGATCTGGGTCACGGGCCTAGACAGCTGAGGGAGCAGGTATAGTGGCCTTCTGCTTTTCTCGCCATTGTGCTTGGATTGTGAACCAGGGTCCTGTCGGAGGCATCTTGGGGTCTCTTGGGGGACTGCCTGGAGGCCTCTTGGAGGCATCTTGCGGGCCTCTTGGGGCTTCTTCGGGGCCTCTTGGTAGCCTGCAGGGCCTCCGGGAGGCGTCCTGCGGGCTTGTGCTTGGCATCGCTCGGACGTGTGCATTTTTCCTTCGACGAGGACCATCAAGAGCATCCTTGATCATTTGGCGAAAAAGCCACGCACGAAACCGAAAAAAACACAGGGAATGGACGTCGGAGCGATGGCCAGTGTGGGCCAACGCTCCCGAGGACATTTGGGTTTCCCCTTTGGGGCTCGAGGGCCTCGCTCTTGGGGCCTTGTTCGGGGCCCCGTGTGCCCCTCTTGGAGGCTCGGGTGCCGCTTTGGAAAGATTCAGGAGGGGAAGAAACACACAGACACAATTATTCGTCGATCCCCTTGAAAATATGGAGAAATATGGGAAGTGGGGGGGGAGACAAAACCCGAGAAAATATGAGAAAATATGGGGAATCATTTTATTTGTGTGTATTTATTTCTGTGTCCCAGGGCCCCTTCAAAGATATTCAAGGCCTCTTAGGACGTAGGCAAGATACTTGCGCACAAAATCGTAGTGCGACGACTTTGGTCTCTTGCGTCGACGCGGCCTCCGAGACGTCTTCGGCTTCCCCCCCCAGAGAAATCCTCAGGAGGGCCCCCCCCTGGGAGACAAACTGCGCAGTTCATCTGCTTTAGGAGATTTGCCCGCATGCATTACTAGCCGCAGCTGAGCGTTGAAGAGTGCATTATGTTTAGTGCGAGTGGCACTTGGGCACCTGCGGCGGGCATACTCGCACCGTCCGCGGCCATTTTGGCTCTAGCGCTGACGTGCGGCTCTCGCTGTGTCCCTGCCGGTCCATCTGGGGCTTCTCTTCGGCTCTGGCGATGGATTTCGGCGGCTTCGGCGACGCGCCGCCGGCTCAGGCACCCTTCGGGGGTGGCGCTCATCGTGGGCCGTTCCCCAAGGCAGCGGCCGCGCCGCGGGGCGCGCCGTCGGCCACGGCGGGGCTCATGCTCCACACTACTCTCGAGACTACGGGTTTCGGAGACCTCGCCACGGCGTTGGTGGCTGGCGTCGGCGGCGACTTGAGCACCACCGTCACGGACTTCGTGGCCGTCCCAGAGCAGATCTTGGTCGACATGATCGGCCAGCTCGAGGTCGAGGGCGTTCCCGCGTCTGGCATCGTCCGCGGCCGCGCGGTGCGTGCGATTCGGGCCGTCTTCGACGTCGCGGGGCTGCCACCGCCAAGCTTGGGCGCGTCAATGCCCCCAGCTCCTGCCACGCGGCCTTCCGGGGCCACGCAGGACGAGCCGTCGCCAGGCGACAACAAGCGGCGGCTCTCGGATCTCATCGACCAGGCGGCGGAGGGCACCTTCAACCTTCTTTCGAAGGACGACGTTGCGGCGGCGCGCCTGAGGTACGTCACCGTCACGGGGGGCCCCCCTCCGGCGCACGCGCGGCCCTCGGCTGAGCAGATCTCGGGGCTCGCGGCGCTGCTCACGGCCAAGGCTTCGCCCTACGTCGATTTCGGCGTGTTTGGGACGTACGGCCGCAGGAGGGCGAAAGCCAGGAAATTCGAGGCCCAAACCTTCGTCGAAGGGCGCCTCGAGACGAGGATGCTGACGGGCCCTTCGAACTTCGAGGCATGGAGGTCGTCATGGCTGGTCTTCCGCTCATGCGTGATCTGCCTCGGGGCGGCCCCGCCCGCGGTTTTGGACGAGTACGAAGAGGGCATCCGCCAGCTGTCCATCTTGTACCCGTCCTATTGGGGCGTCATCCTGAGGGCCGACGACACGGTCAGGTCCGAGAAATGGGACGCGCTCCTGGAGGAGTACCTCGACGCCAACCCCGACGACGACCAGGCGTGGGCGTACGTCATCCGCGCCTCTGCCTTCGGCGCCGAGCCGGCGGTCTCCAAGTTGGGCCATTGGTGGTGGATGCACGTCGGCGCCCCCTGCACTAATGAGGGCGGCATAGCCGGCGCTCTTGTCGACCGCTTGGAGGGCGCGCCAGCTGGGGCGCTACCGGACCCCACAGCCCCGCCGCCCCGCGCTCCGGGGGCCCGGCAGCGTGGCCCGCGGGGCGGCGGCGGCCCGGCTGGCGGCCAGCAGCGGGAGCAGCCTCCGCAGCAGCGGCAGCCGCAGCCACCAGGCCCGGTAAGGCAGGGTTCGGGCGCAGGCGGGGGCGGCGCCCCGGCCAATGACAAGTCCACCGAGGTGTGCAACCTCTGGAACAACAGACCCAACGGATGCAGGACGCCGTGCACGTGGGGCCGCCGACATGTCTGCCGTGTCTGCGGCGGCCCGCATCGGGCCGTCGAGCAGCATTGAAGGGGGGCGCGGGCCCGGGGCCACGGGGGCAGCGCCCCGGGCCTGAGCGCCCCCCTTGCGTCGCCAGCGACGCCTCCCCCCGCGCACGTCGCTCCTGCGGCATCGCCGCCCCTGGCGGGGCTGGGCCCGCCGCCCAGCGGCGCGGCCGCAGGCCCCGCGGACGACGCTGACGCGGCGGTGGCTTTGCTAGCGTGTACCGCCTCCGGCCGCGTGCACCGGCACGTTCTCCGCGGCGGGGAGCAGGCGTCCGCCGCAGACGTGAAGCGGTCGGAGGATGCCGCTTGCCAGGCGGGTTTGCGAAACCCGGGGAACCTATGGCGTGCGTGGCCTGGCCTCTGGTCCACAATGGCGCCGATCGCTGATCTCATTGCTGAGCACCGTCAGCGGGAGCCCCTGCTACAAGGGCTGGCCGGCGCGTGCGGCGCCGAGCCGGCGCGCCCGCCGCCGCCGGCGGAATGCCTGCTGCCGCTGCGCCGCGCGCTCGCCCGGCACCTTGGCATCGGGGCAGCGGCGGCGGAGCGGCACCACCCCGCCTCGTCGTGGCGACCTGAGATCGTGCGCGAGGTGCAGCGGCAGGCAGGGGGCCCTGACCGAGCCATTGCGGATTGGCTACTGGAGGGCGCGCCGATGGGGATCACGCGGGACATCCCCCCTGGCGGGCTTTTCCCCGCGGCGGAATCCGAGGCGCCAATGGATTTAGACGCGCTCCTCGAGCGCGCGGCCGACTTGGGGAACCACCCTTCCTTCTACGAGTTGCACGGCCAGGATCGGCCGCCAGGCGTCGAGCAGCTCCAGTGCTTGGTCAACCAGGGGTTCGGGATCCTCTTCGAGGACCGCGCGGCGGCGGAGGCCTTCTACTCCACCGCCGTTTTCCCGGCGCCCCTCGGGAACATCACTCGAACGAAGCCCGACGGCACGACCAAGCACCGCATCATCCAGGATCTGAAGGCGAACCTCGTCAACTCGGCGGTGACCCTCGCGGAGCGCCAGGTTCTGCCGACGATCATCGACAACGCGTTGGACGTCGCCCTGCTTTCCTCCTGGGCTCAGGAGGGCGGTGTGTCCTGGACGCTGGTGTTGGACTTCGCGGACGCCTTCATGTCAGTGCCGTTGCACCCGGACGAGCAGCCGTTCAATTGCGCGCACGTCGGGCACGCATTGCGGAGGGACAGGCCGCCGGCCTACCCGCAGGAGGCGCGCGAGGGGCGATTCGTGGTCTGGCGGGTCCTGGGGTTCGGCGGCAAGCCCAACCCTGTCGCGTTCGGGCGCGTGGCGTCCTTCGCCGCACGCACCGCGCAGGCCCTGCTCCGGCCATTCGCGCGGTCGGGTTGTGGCCACGCTGCCGCCGCCGCTGGTCGCCTGCAGCTCTACGTCGACGACCCGGTTCTCGCCGTGGCGGGCACGCCGGCAGCAGCGCAATTGGCGATCGACCTTGCCCTGACTTGGTGGCTCCTCCTCGGGGCGCCGCTCGCTTGGAAGAAGGGCGCGCTCTACGCGCGCGAGCACCTGTGGATCGGAGCCATGTTCATTCCGTATTCGCCCGGCGAGGTTCACGTCATGCTGCCCACGGAGTTATTGGCAGATCTCTTCAGGCTCCTCGAGCCCTTCGCGGCGGGGTCAGGCCATGCGTCCGTGGCGGCTGCCCGCCACGTCGTCGGGAAGTGCGCGCGGGTGGCCTACGTGGTCCCCGACGCGGCGCCCTTCGCGGCCGCTCTCTGGGGCGCCCTTGCTGGCGCTGCGGCAGCCGACCGGGAGGCACCTCCGGGTCGCGTCGCGTGCAGGAGGTTCGGGGCTGCCGCAAGATGGATGCGGGCGCTCGCCAACCCTTCCGGTCTCGACCTGCCCCCCCTTCGGCGAGTCGTCAGGGCCCAGGGTGAGCAGCGAGGGCGCGCTTCCGACGCCGTGGTGAAGTTCGACGCTTCCCCGTGGGGCGGCGGCGCAGCGCTCTACAGGCGCGGCGTCCCTGTGGAGTTCTTCGCCCTCACGTGGTCGGACGACGTCTGCGGTCTATTCAACGTCGGCACGGGCGACCCCAGGCACCAGTCTTTCTGGGAGTACCTCACAGTGTTCCTGGCGTTGTGCGTGTGGGGAGATTCGTTCCGTACCGAGGTCCTCACCATTGCGGGCGACAACGTCGCGGCTCTGGAGGGGGCCCTCAACCTCCGTGGCAAGGGCCTCCTCAACCACATCACCCGTGAGATCGCATGGCGGCGCGCGCGGCGCCGGTGGGAGTATGTGGTCCCGCACTTGCCGGCGGAGCACGACGAGACCGCCGACGCGCTGTCCCGGTTGGCCGCGCCGGACCCCGCTGAGCTC